GCTGTCCCTCAGCTCTTCAGCTCAAGGCGAGCGCTCTACCACTTGAGCTACAGCGCCACTTCCGGTTTTCTGGTGGTTTATTGGAGATAAGAGTCTCAGGGTCTCTCCTGCCCGGGCTGGCTTTGAACCGTGATCCTCAGATCTCAGCCTCCTGAGTAGCTAGGATTACAGGCGTGAGCCACCAGCGCCCGGCTCGATGTCCTTTTTGAGGTAACATTCCTCCCAAGGAGTTGGTCAATTGTATGAATATTCCAGGCTCCTGTGGGACTGGATTAGTCTTAAGATAGCTCTTCCTAGAGCTATTCAGAGAGCTCCTACAGAACTAGACTGCTGTGTTCTTAGGAATAATCAGCTCAGCGTTATACCATTTATTAGCTTTTCTTGCTCCCATTTGTCTCCTCCTTTTTCTTTCCAATCTTAGCTCCTGAATTTTGTATATCCAAGTTTTTAGGCACTGCTTGAAGCTGGAGAACCAAAACTAAGATATTACCAGTTTTTAAGAAAATGCTGTTTTCAGCTTTATGCAGTATTCTTACATGCCTGTTTTTTTTCAAACAGTTGTGAAAGGAGAAAAGCAGAATTTCTTTTTGTTATGTCAAAATGTTAATAGACTTTAGAATTAATTTACTATCAATTCTTTTACATTGTATGTATTCTCAGTTTCTTTAATTTAGTTCTTTGTGTTTGACTAACAGGTTTTATATAATAAAAAGGCTTTTTAGAGATAAATGTATACATTTAAGTGTATTTTTGGTGTTATTTGTAATTGGAAATATCTAAATGTAAAAATGGTTTAAATTACAGTACACGAATCTGATATATGCAGCTTTTAAAGTTTGTTGTATAAGGATAATGTTAATAGTATGTTAAAGACTAAAGTTACACATTTACTTTTGTAATACATATATATTACACATTATTTCTTTTAATAACTAAAACTTTACATATTAGTACCAGAATGACTTTATTTGTAAAAAGGAAGAATGTGTGTGTGTATCACCTGTAATTATTTCTAATGGATTGAATTTAGGTGATAATATATTTTCAAAAAATTGTTCTAAGTGTAAACATATTTTTATAAAGAACATTTGTTTCTTATGTTCTTTTTTTTCCATCTTCTTGTTCCTCTCATCCTTAGGTAGCTTTTCAAAGTAATTTAGTGTGATACTAAAAGCACTGTATAATCAACAAAGAAAAACAATTCACATGTTAATTTCTTGCATTTCTGTCTTAGGTTTGGAGCTGTTCAGGATGTTTCTGTATATTTCACATGCCCTGTATCCAGAAGTGGGCGAAAGATAGCCAGTTTCTTGTATCTTCTTTAACTGATGATGACTTTGGAAAGAGAGATTATCCTTGGCCTTGGTAATTTTTTCTAGTTCATTACATTATTAAGTTGCAAATAAACTGAAGTTGTAGAGTCTAACTTCTGTTATTGTCAGTTCCAGTTGTCTGTGTTTGGCCTTCAGTTAGTTACTTGGCTTGTGAAGATAAGGGATCTTGGGTAGGTTTTTTTCCCCCTTCAATTTTTATAAATGCAGTATCTTTCCAATAATTATTGAGACTTTACTTTTTCACTTACAAAACAACTTTTTATGTTTCTAAAGAACTTTGGGATTCCAATTAGTGAGATTTATAGAAATCATATTGTATAGATTATCATCTAATATATTTTGATTATAGGCTTTTTAGCTTTTTCATCAAAATCTCAAAACTTCAGGTGTTTATTATCTGATATTTATTCATTTTGCATATTGGTGATTGTTGAACTCTGGACTTTGGTTATATTTTGAGAATAACTTGAAAAGTGATAATTATATATCTTTGTTAAATATGAAAATATTAAAATTTTATCTGTATTAGTCCAGAGGGGTAGATTCATTGTTACGGTTGTGAAACATTAGATTTTATCTTCATGTTTTATAACTTTCATATTTGTTTTTGTCGGCCATGGGGCTTAAACTCTGAGCCTGGGTACTGTCCCTGAGCTCTTCAGCCCAACGTGAGTGCTCTACCACTTGATCCATAGCCCCATTTGAGGTTTTCTGGTAGTTAATTGAAGATAAGAGTTTCATGGACTTTACTGGCCGGTTGGCTTTGAACTGTGATCCTCAGATCTCAGCCTCCCGAGTAGCTAGGATTACAGGTGTGAGCCACTGGCACCTGGCTCATAATTATTTTTGTATTCCTAAGTTTTGGTTCTTACCACTGGCCTCAGGTCTCACAGAACTTAGACTTGTATCACATTTCCTTTCATTATCATAAACAGTGGTAAATTTATAAAATTATGGAGGTATAGCTTTAGAAACATTTTAATAATGAAAGTTACTTTGTAAAAATATTTTTGAACAATTATTGAGAGTTTTTTTTTTCCCTGTTAGCATTGAGGTTATTGAGGGAAATGATAGGTGAAGGTTCCTTGTAGTAAGAGGAGTTGAGGTTATTGAGGGAAATGATAGGTGAAGGTTCCTTGTAGTAAGAGGAGTTCAAGGCTAGCATTCCACCACTTTGAGCCACAACTCTACTATCCTACCCAGGCTGGCTTTAAACTGTGAGCCTCAGATTATCAGCCTCCTAAGTAGGTAGGATTATGGCTGTAAGCCTAGCTACTATAGCCTGGCAAAATTTTAGTTTTTAATAGGTAATAGAATTAAACCAGATATTGTGATTTTTATTTAACTGTTTTTAAAAAGCTATTTTGAAAAGGGAAATCAGTGGCCAGCCATTTTGGTTGAAAAGCTATTGTCGAGTTGGCAAAAATGTTAATAGTTTTAAATTAATTTTATACAAATAAATTTAAAATATATATTGCTATTAATATATGTTCATGAACAAGATAAAATAGTTCATTGTTAGCATTTCATTATTTTAAATAAAAATCATGTATCTGTACATGTTGATCTCACTAAAATGGTTCCTTCTTAGTGCTGATGGGTGATGTAACAGGTGGTGACTTGCTTGGTAGATATTTATATCTAAGCCTATTAAAATCACACATACTTCTCTGTAGTAGTTAAAAGAAATGATAAACTTTTTTTAAAATAAAAGGAAATTAACTCTTTCTAAGAAAATGCTAATTATATCAATGATGAGTCATTTTATTTTTTATTTTAATTACAAGAAACATACCTTTTTGGTATTTTGAATGTTTAGAAGCAGAACATGTTCTTAAAACAATGAAAATGATTTTTTTAATATAGAAGAAATGTAAGTGATGATTTGAAGCTCTGTTGTACTGTAGTATACTGATTATACTCATTTGTCTGTGAAGAACTAAGTCCAAGCATTATCTTTTGGGAATGGATGATCTTCAGTGATCCACAAGTGAATTTTTGATGGAGTTGAAGGTTGAAATTTCTGGTATCAAAGTTTATTTGAATGAATTAAGTTACAAATCATTTTGCTTTAACAGAATATGAAATGGATTTAAACTTTTCTTTGGCAAATTTGAGATGTATCTCCTTGGTTATGATGTTGAATATAATTAAAGTTTTTAATTTACCTTTAAGTTTTCCTCTTTTATTCTAGATTTTAGTCATATTTCTTGCTGGTATATTGTCTGTCTACTTTTCGGCTTGCTATTACTAATATATTTTATTTGTGAACTACATACCCAAACAAAAAAAATGAGCTTTATAGACATCTGGGCGAATACCACAGGAATATGATTTAGGTGAATAGTATAAACCTAATGTAGCTGTCCTCTGGATGTGCACATAACAACTAATTCTGGATATGTATGTTTAGCAACTATCTATATGGCTAGTTAAATTAAAAACTGTAAGATTAAAAATTGTTAATTTTCCCTGGTTATATGCATTGAGCATATCTCAACTACTACTCATGATCATTGGAGGCAGATAAAGTCACATCATCTCAGGAAATTATCTTTTACAGAGCTGTTACAGATAAATAGAATTTAATATGATCTTACCTTTTTACTAATACAAAGATAGAACCAAGAATTCCTTAATGTAAAACTAATTGAACATAGTTATCTGTTACTAAGGATGTTCATAATTCTATCTCTCATGTTGTTTTTAAAGATGAAATTAACTTTAATAATTTCATTCGTCTTTCTAGTCCAAAATGTAGGTTTGAATACAAAAGATCAGAAACACCTAGTCGGTACTATTGCTATTGTGGAAAAGTTGAAGATCCACCTTTAGATCCCTGGCTTGTCCCTCATTCATGTGGCCAGATATGTGAGAGAGAATTTAAGCCACCTTGTGGACATAAGTGTCTACTCCTCTGTCATCCAGGTGGGTTTTGTGTAGCAAGGTTATTTCTTATGTTGGGGACAAAAAAAAAAAAGTGAACGTTAGATTGAGAACTTGATTTTGTCATGAGAAAATATTGAAAGGAGTTACATATTAAAGTATTAATGGAGGAAGTTCTAGATTTTTTTTTGATATGTCCAAATAGTTCTAATTTCTGACTTCCAACTTTTTCCTTTTATCTGAATTCTAGGTCCCTGCCCTCCCTGTCCCAAGATGGTCACAACTACTTGTTACTGTAAGAAAGCAAAACCTATCCCTCGTAGGTGCAGTGCCAAGGAATGGTCCTGTCAGCTTCCGTGTGGGCGGAAGTTACTTTGTGGGCAACATAAGTGTGAAAATCCTTGTCATGCAGGTAAAAGGCTATACCTATTTTTTCTGACTTTAAGTGAAGTCAAAGTGATCTTTGTTGCTTTTGTATTATTTGTCAGCTAATAAATCATTGTGATTTTAGGAAATTGTCAGCCTTGTCCAAGAGTTAGTAGACAAAAATGTGTCTGTGGCAAAAAAGTAGCTGAAAGAAGTTGTGCAAGTCCACTGTGGCACTGTGACCAAGTAAGCGTATATATAAAATATATATAGCTATATATGTTTACATATATATATATATATTTGTTTATTTGGAGGGGTGGGTCTTAAAGAATATGGAAAGCATCTTTTTTCCCAGCTCTCTCTCTTTCCCAGCTCAGTCCCAGCTCTTTCCCAGCTCTTTCTCAGCTCTTTCTCAGCTTTTTCCCAGGTCTTTCCCAGGCCTTTCCCCAGCCACGTGGAGTGCCACCCTGGCCTGGTCCCAGCAGGTCTATTGAATAAACCTACCCCTTACCTGAATACCACGTGTTTGGTGTGGTTCTTACTCAGCAACCTCTTTTTACCCTCAATGCCTCATGAGACTTCTCCAGACTTCATCTAAGGACTCATGCCACCAAGAGACAGCTGCTGCTGCTCACTGCCTTCTCTGAGAGGGGACCAAATTCCAGCCTTTTACCCCTAATGTCAACGCCCCTTGTCAGCAGGAAGTAGCCAGAGAGAATCTGCGCCCTATTTCATGATTATTAAAAGGCTGGAATGTAAGGTCCGGTCCTGGATGGCTAGCAGACTCCACCCTCCTCAAGCAAAGTCTCCACCCAGTACCTGCGTTACCTAGGCAACTGGCACACCTGGAAGAGGTCACATCTGCATCCTCTGAAGTCACATCTGAATTTGATGTGGCCACACCTTTCTCCACCCACACCCTAGATAAGGCCTAGCCCAGGCCCAAACTTTGTTTCTCAGCTCTTTCCTTCTCAGCTCTTTCCTAGCTCTCTTAGCTCTTTTTCCCAGCTCTCTCTCTTTCCCAGCTCTTTCCCAGACGCCCTCTTTTCCCAGCTCTTTCCCAGGCCTTTCCCAGCCACGTGGAGGGCCAAGATGGCCTGGTGCCAGCCAGAACGATGAATAAACCTACCCCTTACCTGAAAAAAAAAAAGAATATGGAAAACATAAATGATTGAAAAGCAGCAATGCTAATTAAATATAATTAAGCAAAAGAATAGCAACTCAAATGAACTATTTCATGTATCAGAAAGTTATATTTTAATTTAATATTTTAATTACTAAAGAGAATTTTTTTCCAAGTAAGGGCTACTTGTTGAATTTGAATTCAAGGCAATTTTTTTATTTTCTTACAATATGTTTTCCCTTTTCTTCAGACAGTCCCTTCACCCTTGCACAGTTAATACTATTGGAGAAATAGGATTGATTTTATAGGTATCTTGTTCTAGAATTGGCCTGGTTCAGTACTGTTTGGAAATCTTTAATTGGTTGTTATGTGAAACTGTATGTGCTTTTTTTTCTTTATTACATTTTTAAAGATATACTATTTGGTGCCTAGGAAATGTATACACACAAAAAATACTAAGTTAGACAAAGTATGATAATGTGAAGGACATAAAGAAGTTGCTTATTTAAGAAGTTGCTTATCTATGTTTGAAAATGGATTATGTTTATACAGACTTCTTTTTTAATGGTTCTTTACTAGTCCACATTTTATTTTAGGTGTGTGGAAAAACACTTTCATGTGGTAATCATACATGTGAACAAGTGTGCCATGTTGGTGCTTGTGGCGAATGTCCTCGATCTGGGAAGAGGGCCTGTCCATGTCAGAAATCAAGTAAGTCTGTTTTTTAAAGAAATAAGCTATTGAGCCATGGAAATATATGAAGGAAGTTTAACTGAATATTGCTAAATGAAGCAAACTAATTTGAAAGAAGTATATACTGTAGGACTCTGGAAAAGTGAAACTCTAGAGTCAGCGAGAAATCAGTGGTTGCCAAGGGCTGGGGAAGAGAAGGCTGTTGGGATTCCAGAGGACAAAATGATAGTGATAATGAATGATAATTATGGTTGATTTTTGTCATTGTATATTTGCTTGTGCTCATACATGTACAGCACTGAGTAAACCTTAATATACATAAACTCTGATCTTTGGGAATGTGATGTGTCGTTTTCAATTTATCACTTGTAAGTGTATCATTCTATGCTGTGATTCTGGTGAGGATTGATAAGGAGACAGGCTGTGGTATTATCATTATTGTGTATTAGATTATAGCTTAACCTATTTTGAGGTCAAAGTATAGTCAGGTTACAGTTTGAGTCAGTTTCTTTGATTCTCCACCAATAATAGACTCCTTAGATTATTTCTAATACTTCTCATCACCTATTTGTTAGTATAATGTTTGGGTTTTTTTTTTTTTTTTTGCTTTTTTGTTTTTTGGTCAGTTGTTGGGCTTGACCTCACTCAGGGCCTGGACACTGTCCCTGAGCCTTTTTGTGCTCAAGGTTAGCACTCTACCACTTGAGCCACAGTGCCATTTCTGGATTTTGAGTGGTTAATTGGAGAGATGAGCCTCATGGGGACTTTTCTGCCTGGGTGGCTTCAAACCGTGATCTTCAGATCTCATCCTCCTGAGTAGTTAGGATTACAGATGTAAATCACTGGCACCCAGCTTTTGTATAGTGTTTTTTTTTTATGTCAGTAGTGGGGCTTGAACTCTGGACTTGGGTGCTCTTGAGCTCAAGGTGAGTGAGTACTAGGTTATCCATAGCGCCACTTCTGGTTTTCTGGTGGTTAGATCTCAGCCTCCTGAATAGCTCGGATTACAAGCGTGAGCCACCGGAGCCTGGCTTGTATAGTGTTTTAAAGTCTGTCTTTTTCATCCTATGATATTAAGAGAAAATGAAAAATGATTCTATATATTGTGGAAATCTCAGTTTTATATAATCTAGCTCATTTTAAAAGTAGTTAGCCTGTAAATATGTTTATTGAGGATGGTAACTTTTCATGTGTCAAATTCCTGTTTGAAAAACATAAACTTACTTGGGCATTGGTGGCTCATACCTATGATCCTAGCTACTTAGGAGGCTGAGATCTGAGGATCGTGGTATGAAACCAGCCCAAGCAGAAAAGTCCATGAAACTCTTTATCTCCCAATTAACCACAAAAAAGCCAGTGGAGGGCTAGCCTTGAGCACAAAAGCTTGGAACAGGCCCTGAGTTCAAGCTCTAGGACACACACACACACATACATACACACACACACACACACACACACACACACACACACACGTTGCTGGAATACAGTGATGCATATCTATAATCCCAGCAGTTCAAGCCCTAGGAG